TTTTTTCAAGTATTTCATTAGCAAGAGATTTTGCAGTAGCTGTTGGTTTTGATTTAATTATTTGATCTAATTTTCTTTTTTCGGCGCTCGAAAGAGCGCACGGACGACCGGACGATTGTCCACCAGTTATTTCACCTGTTTCATGGTAACGAGCCAATACACGTCTCACCGTAGAAGATGCACAGTTATGATTCTTTGCAATAATTGATATCTTGGTTGCATCTCTTTCCCTTTCCATTATTATTTGTGTTCGTTCAATATCACTCAAATGAGACATTTTAGTTAGGAATCAATTTTACCGATTATCACTTCTATATGCGCTATGGTTTATTTATCGTTCTTTTTCTTGTTCTTTTTTTTCCATTTTTTCCTCATTGTTTTTCTCGTCTAGTCAGGTGCATCTCTGTTCTTCTCCACTTCATCTAAATTATCGTCTTTTTTTAACTTATTTTTATGTGTTATTACAAGATACATTATTACTGGTATTTGCTTGATAGTAGGAAAATCATACCTTTTTGTATATATCTCAGATGTTTGAGACAGAAAGTCAGTGAAGTAGATTTTCTTATATACATATGTATTTTGACACACGCTCTATCTATATATAAAAAATTAAAGATATAGCATTGAACTATAGAGGAGAACGAGCTGATAGAAAAAGGCCGTTTTCTTTGTCCGGGGGAGACTTGATAAAAGATGACCACGACGAATAATAACATCTGTATCAGCCATTAAATCAATATTTGTTGCATTTATTTTTGATGATTATAACTAAATAAATTTTTTTATTATTATTTTGTTTTTGTTTTTTTTTGAATTTCTTACTTTCATTGAAAATTTTGATTTACTATCGATATTAAGTTGTGCTTCTTCAGTTGATTGAATATAAAGAAGAATTGTTGAAATAATCTGAGAAAAAAAAGCAGTTTTTATTGAAAAAAATTCAATTAACAAAAATACTTGTTTCTAGTCCATAATTGTTTTAATTTCCACCAAATATAAGGTGGTAATAAACGAATTTTTCGACGAGAATATCGTCCAATAGCAGTATATACAAGTTGTTCATAATCCGATTTAGCAAATCAATGAATAAAAAACTTTTTAAGTAAAACAACATTATACTTTTTAACAAAAAATCGATCACCTATTGTTAATGATGTATCAACAACGACATGATCTTGAATAAGATCAGTTAACGGTGTTCCATCTTTACTGACAAGAAAATGTTGATAAGTTATCACAATATGAAAAAAGACCAAAAAACAAAACATCTTTTTCAAAAAATTAAATCGACAAAATTCACTTAATTCAGACAACTTCAGCTCGTGTTAGTTCATTTTGTGCTAAGTGAATATTCATCTCATCACCATTAAAATCCACATTATATGATTTACATTGAGCATAATGTAAGCGTAAGATTTTTTCATCAGGTAATACTCGAGCCTATCATGAACATAAGAAATATAATAAACAATGCAAAAGTCTTTGGAAAAATGTTGAGCTCCACAGTTCGACCATTTTAGAAGATAGAAAATTAAATTTTTTTATTAGAAAGAACTAGTGTACTACACGGGTACAACTTTTCGAACTCGGACCGACAGTATTTTTTAATATCGAAGCCCGACCCAACCCCACCGTTTTACACCCAACAGGAAGTAATTGACATCCAGCAGGAAATTTCAAGGTGATATTATGTTTTTCAAATTTTTGTTTCATATGACAAAATCTTCTATTATTTTAATTGCATCAATAAAAAAAGAAACAAGTGAATCAGGATTCAGTTGTTGATGTCACCAATCGCCGTATCGGGCCCAGGTACGAGATCATACCCGGGACCGAACCAACCCGGCAGGTGTGTATTCGAACTTAGACTTCGGGTCAGGTCGGGTACTGGATACTCGGTCCGGTTGCAGAACACTAGAAAAATTTGTATTCAATTGACTGAACACAATTGATTTCGCGATATCACTCGAAATTTCTTTCAAACATCCTCTATCATAGCTTGCAACATTTTTTGATCAAGTTA